ATCTTCCTTAATTCACGTCGTATATAGAAGAGGTAGATAATTCCAGGTGTCTCGGTAACATATTTTCCGCCGACATGCTATGGGACGCTCATGTAAACTTCTTGCTCACAAAAATAGCGTAAATTACTGGCATAATTGGACGCATTCGATACCTCCTTCCCTCACAAGTTAAATTGCTTTTTTATAATTCACTGTTTTACTCACACTTAAACTATTGTCAACTAGTGTGGGGGACAACTGCATCTTCAAACCTACAGTGTATTCATTTATTACGAGAGATATGTTCGCCACATCTATAACGCCCCTTATGGAACACCAAGTTCAATTTCCTTTCGTCGTTCTCGGGTTATCAGGGCAAACAACCTATACAGATATCGTTTGAGTGCTCGCTATAAATTAGAAGCACAGAGAAATACAAGTAATATACGCAATCTTTCCCAACTGCAAATAAAAACCTCTAGTTGCTGTACAATACACAAAGAGAGCTGGGTAGTCCCTACAACTCGACTAAACTGCGGAAAAGAATGTCTCCGTTATCTTTTACCATCCCTTTTAAACAACTATCACCAGGTTCATTTTGATCTGTACACTTGCAGATATAGTGAACTTCGCACAATGTACGAAGCATAAAAACACACATATGTATGTATGTGTGTATATATATGTGCGTATATGTTTATGTGTATGTACGTGTGTATAATATATGTGTGTGTTTGTATGTATGTGCATATATATATGTGTATGTATGCATGTGTGTGTATGTATGTATATGTGTATATATATATGTATATATATATATATATATATATATATATATATATATATATATAGATATATATATATATATATATATATATATATTGTGATGAAGACCCTCATCGTCGTCATCGGGCATCATCATATTTCCCCCATCATCGTTAGCTTTAGTTGACACATGGGGTTTAACAAAACGTACGCTCGCATTAGGCAACGCTACTTCTGGCCGCAGCTTCAGACAACTGTTTTTAAATATGTTCAGTCCTGCTTGAAATGCCAGCGTAGAAAACGTCCAACCACTGCCCCTGCGGGTTTGCTGCAACCATTAGTTTGCACCAGTGCGCCTTTCGAACGAGTAGGAATCGATTTGTTCGGTCCGTTCCCCGTTTCTTCTCATGGTCATCGCTGGATAGTCACGGCCGTTGACCACTTAACTAGATACGCCGAGACTGCCGCGCTGACCTCTGCGACATCTGAAGAAATTGCTAAATTCTTTGTACACACCATACTTCTACGTCATGGTACCCCACGAGTCCTCTTAAAGGGACCATGAAATGACCTTTTTACTTTTTCCAGATAACTTTTACATTAAACCGTCAATGTTCACTGAATGCCGAACAGGCATCCGTTTTCGTCTCGGTTTATTAACTTCTACACAAAAAATTAGTGAAATATCGACTTTTTCATTCTCTCCAACTGACCGCAAAACAAGCCGTGACGTAGACCGTTTCCGGAACCGGAAGTTCTCTCGGCAGTAGGAGAATGGGAGTGTTAGCGGCAACGAGTTGGGGTGCGCCGGTAGGTTTTACTGCGCTGATGTCACCGACGTATTTCCTGAATCGGCGCCTCTCATCGCCGCATCGCAGCTGAGCGAAATTCAATGAGATATGTTGCGCTACAGCGACAGCATGGGACTAGTCCCATACGCCGGTATGCCTGTTGGGAAGTGCAGCGAGTCTTCCGGTGAAGACTCCAGAAGTCAACCACCCCGTCATTGTTGGCAGAAGGGCCGGCCCGTGTCAGTCGTTTGCAAAGCGACGTAGATGGCGTTTTTCGCGGCCTCGGAGATGCAGGAGCGAGCCGACGTTAAAAAAAGATACGTTTGAACTACGAGTGTCAGCAAGAGCCACGTAAATGCCTGTTTACACTCGGAGCGGACGCGCGCGCTTGATGGAAGTCTTGTATTCGCGCTGTTTGTAAGCGCTTCGGGACCGTTCTTTTACGATTGCAACTCGATACTGACGCGACACTCGGCAAAGAAAGGTTGGACCGGGGTTGTACGTATACCTCCCACGAACGGTGACGTACAGTCTGTCAGAATAAAAATGGCATACCAATAACAAAGTGTACATACCGTGTTACGAAGGTAATCCATACGGCGTTTATTTCAGCTCTATATCACACAAAACAAGAAGATAGAATCGACGAGAGTCCCTTTTCGACGAGTGTTCGTCAACACTGCCTCGGAAAACAAGGGGAAGAGATTGACCTCACCTCTTAATCTAGAATTGAGGTCAGTGATCAAACTATAATACGGGAAGGGTCCACAAGGGTCGCGCGGGCATATTCCACTTAGCACGCCAGCCGATCGTAGGCAGACGGTCTTGCGACGAAGCAACGCAGCGCCGAGTCGGAATGCCTGCTAGGCCTATACGCTTCGTCGGAGTCGGTGGATCCAGCGTTCTTGTTCGTCGTGGTCTGTTTTAAGTACTGTTTTCTTGCTGCTTGAAGTCGGCACGCGCGGGAAGAACACGTAGAAAAATAAACGTTCAGTCAGTCAGAGTTTTGAGAGGAAGGAAAACAAAGAAAATAAATGTTCGTCGGTCGCCATCAATGGTCGCCGTCACCCAAGTAACTGTCGGCCCTGCCCTACTGCGCACGCGCAGTAGTTGCTTCGTTTACCACACGATAGATGGCGCTTGGCTCTCAACATTATCATTATCATCAAATTCGGCAATTTTCGCCACACATCTCTAATTATGCTACAAAATGTGGGTCTGAATATTATTTAACAAAACTTTTAGGAAACATTCGCCGGCTATTTATTGTTTACGATCGCGGTGCTGGTGAGGTAGGCTCTTATCCAATAGGCGACGTGGATTCGGCTGACGTGCTCCATTTCTGCGGATGCATCGTAGTGAAAAGGCAGAGCTTTCGAAGGAAAGAAGTCGCAAAAGAGTCCAGTTTTCTTTTAAAAGTTCTATAGCAAATAATTTTTTTCGGCTCCCTAGTTTTGTGTTTTTGTGTTTCTTTTCACACCTTTTACGACGTGCGGTGGATGAAATTAGATTTTAAAATCATTTCATGGTCCTTTTAAAAGAGCTGAATAATAAAAAAAGCCTAAATGCCTATTAAATTCGGGTAAAATTGCAGGTACGCAATAAGTTAGTATTCCGTTCCTCGTGCCGTTCCTTTGAGGACGTAACAGGTTACCGTTCTAGCTCAACTGAAGCAACATGGAATGGCGACGTTCCTCCTATAAGGAACCTGCTCCGGGAACATCGTTCCTTGTGGCATTGACGACAAAAACCGGTTGGAGGCGCCTCCAACGAGAAGAACCCTGTTATCATCACCGATTAAAAGTGATTTTGTGGCGAAAATGATTTCACTTTTATTTCGATCTATCGATCGCAGCGTTGTAAGCAGAATTACATTGGATGAAGAACGACGCTGACGCTAACTCCAGTTAGAGCACTGCACGGGCCAGCCCGAAGACCGGAGCCCGGCCCGGCTCGCAGGCCGGGTTCGGGCCGGGAAGCAGGCGTTTTCTCGGGCCCGGGCCGGGCTCGGGCTTGAACAAGATATTTTTCGGGCTGTGCCGGCCCGGGGCCGCGGCTAGGCAGTCGTGTGCCGTAAATTCTAATTCGTTGATAACAAAAAGTGTGCTCATTGATCTTTTAGATTCAATGAAAACAAACGAGCGAAATGCAAAAAATCACTACCGCGCCGTTAAAACAAAAAGGAAAAAGCCATCTTGCCTTTGGAAGCCTAAACGTTGATAAAAGGAAACGTGTGGGTTCCGCCAGAATAGTGGGAAAGTGCGGTCACGGATAGGAGGCCATTCCAGTTGCAGGGTACAACATGAGGGTCTTTTTTTCTCCTTTCAAACTAAAAAGAAGAAAAAACATCACCACTTTTCAGGGGGCCTTACCAGGCCACCAAAGATAAGCTTACTACCATCGATAATTTTATGCTTATATAGCCTTTGATGATGCACATGCGTGATTCTGATTGTTTCGTCACAAGAAACATTTAGAGAGGAAGGTTCTCTGTGAAACGAGTTGAACAACGAAAAGTCCAACATCTCTTCAAGAAATGCATAAATAAAATATTGCCCAGTGTTCGTTGTTTTTTTTTTTTTCTCAAAATTACTTATGATGTGCATATTTCGGCCATATTCTTAAAGATATAGAGTCTAAGTCGAAATATTTATTGTGTCTAAAAAACTCGGTCCAAGTTTAAAAAAAATTTAAATCAAGTATACTCACTTTGTGCTTAGACAGTTTTAGGTTAAAGCCTGCAAACTTTTTTGGGCTCATGTATACAATATGTCAGGCTCAGGAAAAGCTCAAGCTTATATTTAAAAAAAAGAAATGGTCGTGTTGGGGGCCGGGCTCAAGCTCCTGTGTAAAAACCTTGCCGGGCAGTGCCTCTTCCGGGCCGGGCAGAAATTAAATATTCTATCGGACTAGAGCCGGGCCATGCCTCTCCCGGGCCGGGTCAAGCCGGGCCTAGAAATTCCGGCCCGTGCAGTGCTCTAACTCCAGTCTCGGGCCTTCCAGGCACGCGACACCGTGTCGGCATCGCTACGTCCTCTTTTCGTACCGTTTCTTCGTGCTGTTTCTCAAACTCGCGAAATCTTTACGAAGCGCCTCAGAGTCCTCTCTCCTGCCGCTTTTTTTCCCACTTCACAGTTGCGCTGTCTGTGAAGCTCGCGGCGCTGGTGTTCTGAAAGCCGATCCACCTTGCACGCTTCGCTCACTTCTTTCAAGGCTGAATAAGAGTCAGCTTGGGTAAAAATGCGATTCATTCGGCATTAATGAATTCTACCATGCTCCAGATAACCGCTCGACTCCCGTCTCTGATCAAGCCAGCCTGTTTCACACACAGCAAATGCGTCGTAATCGCGCCTTTTTTTTTTTTTTTGATGCATGATTGGTTTTAGTTGGTGGTAGCAAGCCCTCAAAAAAAAAAAAAGAAAAAAAAAGTAGCACCGTGACGATGCACTTTGGCGCTGCTGGATCGTATTCATCGGATCGTTGGCCGCCAAATTACGTGTCAACCGGGGCGGCGGGGAACCGTAGTTGGCAGCTGCCTCCCGCTGCCGAAACATCCACGCATCGCACGTCCTCACTTTCCAACGTTCAACCACAACGAAGGTCGCGCCTCAACAGCAGAAGATCCACGACGAAGCTGACGCGCATCCGGCCGCCGAAGAAGGCACACCACAAGTCAAGAGCGCGTTCGCGGGCGCCCGAAAACAGAGCCAGTGATCCGTCGACTCCACCACCACGCAGTCGTTGCAGCCTTTCGCACGATCAGCGGCGAACAAAGCGGGACGTCCCAGCAAAAGCCAGTCGGTGCGGGCCACCCCTAACAAAAAGAAAAAAAAGAAATCGAGGTCACGGTGCGAGGGCTGCAAAACTCTTGCCCTATCTCTCCCCCCCCCCCCCCCCCCTCCAGTGTGCCACGAGCCAGCGCGTCCGCGTGTGGTTAGCAAGCAAGCCGGCCGGCTCAGAGACGTGTCGGGAAACTGAGCGGGCAGTGGTGACTCGGGGGAGGTTGGTGCGCGAACGAGGATGCCGTGCTCGCGTGTCGAAGATCGGAGGCCAACGGCGGGACAACGATGACCACCGCCGCCCCCGTTCAACTCCTGGGCTTCCGGTGGACCGCCGGTGCTGACCGGGTAAGCTTCCCAGCCGGCGAGACGGAAATCGGGGCAGACGCCGCGAGGGAAAAAAATGCGCCGAGACAAAAGAACCCACTCTCATTTGCGTGCGGGCGCCGTTTCGCGGGCGTCACAGAAAGGGACGACTCCGAATTCGACGCCCCGTTTTCGCGCTTTCGCCTTTTCGCTCTGGGCTACCCGCACTTCGACAGTAGTTTCTCGTTACTTGCGAGTTTCGATAGATCGTTCCGATAACGATACGATGCTGGCGCAAAGGCATCGGCGAAGTATCGTCGTCGCCGGACCGGACCGATCCACTAAAAGTCGTCAACATGGACGCCGTCAATTTGGACATCCAGCTAGAGATCATTCCAATCACCGCCTCGGGGGTGCCGCCATTTTTCTGTCTACTGGGCCGTAGCAGTAGCTCTCTTCCGCGGAATATCCGACGCAGAGAATGTGCCTGCCGTGACTCGGCACTTTTTTTTTTCTCGGTGACAAGCGCTGGGACAGACTGAAGGAGTACGTAATACATAAATTTTTCACATCGACTGTATTCATTCCTTTTTTTGTTCTAATTTTTGGCAACCGCCTTCGATGACCGTAGGCCATGAAAAGTCCCACCCTCTCGCGCGTCAGCCAGGTTTACACTCGGAACGCCATTCCAGCGATTAGTGGTCTACTCCGCAGCCGCGTCGACTCGAGACTATCTCAATCACTCGTCACTCGTCTTCGAGTGATTTCTAACCTCGTATTCAAACACCACTTTTTGTTAACTACATGTCGTTCGCACTTAAACGCTACGGTCCGACGGTGTCAAAGTGCACCGCCACGGCGATTATCGCCGGCTAAAGCAATCGCACGCAACAAAACTCGCAGGATCCGCGCGCACTCACTGTGCGTGATTGGGTTAGGCCGGCGATGTACACGCACGAGCACGACGATCGATTACCGCGGAGACATGTAGCGACATTCTCTGAAGCGCCGACTGCATGACGGTATTAAGGGTTTTAGGAAGCGAAGAGCGGCGCACAGCAGATGACCCAGCTAATGTGTTTCGTCGTTTGTATTGGTTGTCGTTGTAAAAAAAAATGTATACTCTTTAGGGACTTTAGTTCTCCATGCTCACCGACAGCTTACGACGTGCCTTATTACGTACTACATTCTTCTTGGTTCGCGATTTCTTCTCCGGCGTTTTTATCGGGGAGTGCCGCCATCTCGCAGGTTACGACGAGCGATAAGATCATCGTTCATCGTCATACACTGCTCGAAAGAAGCACACGGCGTCCGCCGCATCCGTCGTGGCAAAAACGTCTGCGCACGAGCTCGAGCAGATTTGCTTCGTAGGTGTGTGCTTCAAATACATCTGCCGCAATTTCTTTTTTTAATTCGCCGATTTGATTCCATTTTTGTACAAAAATGGATAGAAGTTACTGGCTATATCCCTTTGAAACGGGCGGTAGCTTGCGCCACCTAGCCTCGGACAATGTCTGCAGTCAGTGAAAGGAACACGCTTCGGACATTGCATACGGACTGTTTTCTACGATGTATTACCAGTGCGAACGCGGATTTAAGCTGTCGGCGACTGTGGCACGCGTCGCGTCGTCGCAAAAGCGCGTATACGAAACCAGCGGCGGCCAAAGGGGTGCGTCTTGGCCCGCGTAGCCTCGACCGTGACGGGGCCCGCGTTGATCCTGGAGACCTGCTCCAGTCTGGCGCAGAACCAGGCCAAGCTGCTCGAGGGCTACTCTCGCCGCGCGCGCCGACGTCCTCTAGTTTAATATTTTATTTCTTTTTTACTCGTTTGTTTTGTTCGGTGCGTTCGGTTTCGTTTCCTCGAGCGAGAAAAAGTGCATTAGATAGGTTGGAGCAGCGTGGTTCGGCATGTGGGCCCTTCTTCGTCGAGATAGGGCGACGCCGATCTGGTCTCTTGCGGTTAAACCGACGCTGAATACTTTGTTTCACCGCGGTGCCTGGAAAAACACGTCCCTGACTGGCGTTCCTACCGCGTCCTAAAAACTGGTCCTTCGATTTCCGCCCGAGGACGTTATGGAGGTGTCACGATGTCGCCGGTCGCGATCCTGCTGGTGGCCGTGTCACAGATGGCGATGGTGGATGCGGCGGATGCCTGTCCTGCTACGGGTCGCGCTCCAACTTGAGACACAGGCCACGGAAGCTTCGACAGATCCGAGTTGGGACGACGCGACGGCAGCGAGTCCCGCGTTCGCTCGCATGTTTTGTCGGGACTTCTACCACCAACCGCCAGGATCGCTACGTCCGACAACCTGATGCACCTGCTTCCATGACGTCATAGGTTGCCACTTCGTGGCGTATGGGCGGGGATAGGTCGTTTCAGCTTCCGTCCGAGCGCAGCCAAACCTATGTGTGGCCGAAGCCAATCACACGCCGGCAATAGGTCACGCGATTTCGCCTGCACCTTTGTATCACTCCGCTGCGCCGCCGGTCGTCCGCGCTGCCCGCACTTGCCCAGTATTTCGCCTGCTACGGGTGTATCAACGGTATGGTCTGCTACAGGTTTAAAAAGTGCCCTTTCACGTTCTGAAGTTTAGTCACACGGGATGTCAGTACGTGGGCTGGCCACTGGCGTCTGTGTCCGAGCTTTCCACTTGTTCAGCCTTTCGGCATAGTTTCGAGATGCAAGTACACATCGCAAGGTGCCTGATGACCCGGCCGTTGATGTTTCCTTGTGTATTGTCTGGATATACCAGGGCTCGAGGCGCAGTCCTTTCCACCAGCTTCTCGGCGTTCAATAAGATCGGCAGGTAAGGGGGGCCCTGATTTCGCCGCGTATCAGTGTATTGTAGTGGCCCGGACGCTTTTCTTGTTTACAACGGATTTGCGGTACGACGCGGCCGGAGTCTCCTGCCGAATTTAAGAGTAGACATGGATCATGACCTCTCGCACCTGACGCCCAAACGTGCCTTTGCTAAAGGACGTTTTGAAACGACTCGGTGAGGAAAGCGGGGAAGCACATGATTCAGTCATTACGGGAACGAAATCACACAGAAAAACCGAGCGCCGCGGCGGCGTTGCCAGCGGATTTACGTGTTTTCACCAAACCACATGCATTTATTAATAAAAACATAAACTTCACATATTTAAATCCTTTAGTTGCAAATCATTCTCAGCAGTACAGATCTGGAATATTGTGCAATGTTTACGCACACAACAGTTGTTTTAGAAAAAAAACTTTTGCGGACTACTTTGTGGTGCGTAGGAACGCTCTTTCGAAGTTGCAAACCGTTCCTCAGCCTTTGGCTGCGCTCGGACGGAAGCTGAAAGAGGACGCACCGGTGCGGTCAAAGGCGCGCAAAGGTGACATATTGAGCTTCCGGCTCAGCAACACTTTCTTTGATTTCCTTGCTCTCAAGACTCTGACTGACTGACAAAGACGCGTTCCAGGCTCTGTAGTGTCACGTGACGCTGACAGGCTCGGCTCCCCAATGGAACCTCGTGGTGATATAACGCGGGGATAAAAGGGTATGGATACAGCTTTATCGATGTTTGTCGTGACCGGTAGTGCTGCAACACCAAAATAGATGCCCCCACCCTCTGTTTCCCCCGGCTTTACACGAATAGCATAAAAGGAAACGAGATAACAACACTCATACAAACCGTATCTCTTGCTTTTTCTTTTTTTTTTTATTGTGTTTCGCTTTCGGGGCAAACCGAAAAGCGGTCTTGTCCGCAGTTTTCTTGCTTCTGTCGAACTTTGATGGTGCAGTAAACTTTTTTTTTTTTTAGTTTTTAACAAAGCGGTACTAGTCGGCAACTTCCGCATGGGACTGCTGCAGATTAATAATTCTTTTTGCAAGATTTTTTTTACAAAGATTATTTGCCAGAGAGATAGAAGTGACGAAGCACACGTTGCAGGCTTTCTTTGCCACTAGTTATTCGCACCAGTTTATTTCTTTTTAACATCTCTTTTTGCTGACGACTAGGCACAATGTGTTCGTCCTGTGGAGTGCGGATGGTATGGGCAGATTGCACTTGACGTTACGATAGGCAAGGACGGGGCCCCGCGCCATGCTGGTGGTTGACTTCGCACCTCGCTTATGCGGTTTCCGAGGCGTAGCGTGGACCCTAACGGTCCGGACATCCACAGCCTTTTCGGCGAACGTACTCATCCTTTGACATGTGAACTTGAAACACCGTATCGACCTTACGATGATGACAACAGCCGATACGTGCGCATCTTTCTGGGGTCGCTGCCATCGCACTATACGAGCAGAAAGTATCAATAAGCCGCTAACGCAAGTCCTTGACGCAAAAAAAAGTGTCGTGTCAACAACAATGACAAAGCTTTATGACATGGCGTAAGACATAGAAAGCACTGGAAGCCTCCGATTACTCGACGATTGGCTCAGGAGCCGCGATTGAAAGTTCTTGCAAGTCATCAAGTGGTATCGATTTTGCAAAGCGCTGGTAGGGCGTACACTCTAGCGCTGCGTAAGCAATGCAAGGGTCGCCGTGTCGTATTACACGCAAAAACAAAGGTATATTCTTACAGCCCTTGTCACATATAATACAGCCCGTAACTTCAGTTGGACGTACAGCGAACTGACGTTGAGCCGACGGTACCAACTTTCACGAGCGGCTTGATAGCGAGTTTTACAACCTATAAAAATTGCTAATATAAGTGTGACTGACTGCAAAAAAAGTAATCGGGGTTTTCTTGGCCCTAGTAACGCCTGTGTTGTTGTTGCTGTTTTCTCTTCTGCAGTCTTTGATACGCACTTTAACTGTTTAATATGTTATATCGTACCCTCATCAACCCTCTCCTAAAAGTTTGGGCCGTTAGCTCGACGTCAGTGCGCTGTACGTCGTACTGAATTTTTGGGGTGTGATCAATGGCGGTCGTACTTGTTGTTGAATTAGCGGCGTGATGAAGCGAGTGGGAAAGGACGTTCTGCAAACGGACAAAGCCGACGCAAAGGCTTGAACGAACATAAACACGTTGAAAAAATGCTCTCACTCGCCGCTAACGAAACGCGTCA